AGATTCCAATTATTTTTGGGAGTCAGGATTGATCTACACTTTTCTATATATATATATCTTAGAAAAAAATGGGCTTACCCTTGTGTTAATAAAGAGGTAAAGCTATTACAATGAACTCTCTTCTTCCATATAAAGGTAATCTAGTAGACTATAATTCTCATTTATACATATAATATTTTAAAGCATACTTTGATGTAACTTGGCATAAAATCACAAGAACAACATCAAGTTTGTCCAAAAAGGAGCACAAGGAGTACAGTTACTAGAGGCATCAAAAGAAAGGACATTCATCATCTTGAACTCTACTATTCTATAGATGGAATGAACTAATGATCATCTTAGATCCTATTACCAAGGAACCTATCTCTAATGGCACATGATTCTACATATTTTTTCGCCTCCATTCTTTCACTTGATGACTCCATTGAGCAAAGGACTCCAACCCTAGCAACTGTCACAAGGATTTCCAAAACAACAGCTTTTCTTCCCCCTATTCCTGCTTCCTAAATTTTCTACTTCTGGAACCTCTTGCAACAATGTAGAGTCGAAAATATCACTCACTCTTTCAAGCAATTTTGTTTTAGTGTATTGGTGAATGGTAAAATTGTCCTTAAACATTGAATCAGTTAGTTGTTTTCCTGTTATCATATCCAATAGAGAATTCCAAAGCTATACACATCCCCAAGCTTGGATGCCTTGTTGCTTATACCATATTCTAAATTGTAAAATAAAAGGTTAAGGAATATAGTTGATGTATCATGTTGCTAAGCACAAAGATAGTAGGTGGATTAAATGCCAATGGAATCATAAAAATGAAAAGGAAATTATTGAAAGAACCATAAAAAAATTAAAATGATTACCTAGAGCTACATAGCCAATTGTTCCTTTTACACCAATAGAATTGCTTTGGTTTTGAGAAACTAATAAAAAACTTACTATGCCAAAATCACTTACATAAGCAACCGTCTCCTTGTCAAGCAAAACATTGCTAGGCTTAAGGTCTCCACGAAGAATTGGTGGTTGGCAATGGTCATGAAGATATTCAATTGCAAAAGCAATATCTATGGCTATATTGAGCTTGTGAATGAGGCTCCAACTAGGTTTTCATCTAGATGTAGCCATTCCTCTAAGCTTCCATTACGCATAAACTCATAAACCAAAGCCTTAAAATTAATTCCTCCAAAGTCTACACTTGAGCAAATATTTATAATCTTGCTCAAATTTTAATGTTGATTTTTTCTCAATACTTCACATTCAGCCATGAAACTCTTGGAAGCTCCTTTCTTGTTAAGGTTTAAAACCTTGACTGCCACTAGCATTCTCTCTTAACTCAAAATCCCTTTATACACAAATCCAAAACTTCCTTCACCTATCAAATTAGATGATGAGAAATTTATTGATTGCTTGACTTAACTCTGCATAAGAAGTCTTTGGAAATTGATCTAACTCCTGCACCATGGTAAAAGTTGAAGCTCTCCTTGTAGATCTCTTTTTGTATGAAAAGACAACTAGTGGCATGATCAAGAATATTGAGCATGAGGTAATTATTGAAATCAAGACTATCAGATGATGAAGCTTTCCTTTCTTTTTCTTATCTTTAATCTCTCATGAAGGACATCTTAACTGATGAATACCTCCAAAAAGTCTTTGGTTCCCAACAATCAAAATTATGCTTGCATTTCCAAAGATCCCCCCAGTTGACAACTTTCTTTAGAAATTATTGAATGATAAATCTAAGTTCAGTAAGAAAGTAAAATTTTGGAAGCATTTTGGAATTTGACTTGACAAATTGTTACTAGATAGGACAAGGTCTGCAAGGCTTTCAAAGTGCTGAATGTGAGTGGGATGCCTCCTTCAAACAAGTTATTGTCCATCCAGAGGAGTCTCAACATCAAGCAACTTCTTAAGGCACTTGGAATTTCTCCTGACAATTGATTGTATGAAACATCCAAATCCACACTAGGTTGGTCATCTTACCCACCTCAAAGTCTAATGGAAATGATCCTATAAAAAATTCACTAACAAGTATAGTTCTATGACTTGGGATAAGCTAAAATGTTGTCTTGGTATGTTACCAAAGAAGGAACTATAATGAAGGCAAAGGTTTTCAAGTTGTGACCGGTTTCCCAAACTAAGGGGAATCATGCCACTTAAATTGTTAGGATGCAAACTCAAAAGTAGTAGTTGGGTGATACTCCCAAGTGAGGATGGGATTGACCCTAAAATTCCATTCTTATATAGGTAAAGTTCACATAATTTTCTAACTTTCCTATACTAGAGGGAATTTCACCTATAATATTACAAGTGAAGATAGCAAGTGTGGTTAAGCCAATTAGATTCCCTATATCTTTGGGGATTTTACCTGAAAGTTGGTTCTCTCCTATGATCAATTCTTCAAACTTGGTTGAAAGATTGGCAATTGAAGCGGGTAATTCACCTTTGAAACGATTCTTCCTAAGTTCCAACTATTGGAGGTTGCTGCAATTGGTTAAAAAAGTTAGGAAGCCTAAACCTTCATCTTCTTTAGTTTCTAAATGATTCATGTTGAGGTATAGCAATGTAAAATTCTTTAAGCTTCCAATGTTTAAAAGGGTACCATCCCATTGAAATTATTGAACCCAATATCAAGTTGTTCTAGTTTGGATGCATTCCTTAAAGAAGTTGGTATCTCCCCATAAAAATGGTTATATACCATGTAAAGATATTGAAGATTAGGGAGAGTGTGACCGATCTCCAATGATATTTTACCATGCAATTAGTTTTCTGTCACAGAAAGAAAATATAGGGATGAAAGGTTGAAAATTGAATGTGGAACCAACCCAGATAAATTAATTTCAGAGAGTTGTAGAAATTTCAACTTTTGAAGTCTTCCAAGCTCTGTCAAGATGCTTCCATGTAAATTATTTCTTCCCAAGGTTAATGCTTCAAGTCAAGATGCATTGCCTAACCATTGTGGTATACTTCCTATTAACTTATTTGCCCACACCAAGAAAGTATGCAAACATTTTGACAAATTTGGAGCTCAATAGGAATTTCTCCAATAAGGTGGTTGTTGTTGAAATTGATCTCTTAAATTTGAACATGATGAAAGATTGCCGATAATCTTCACTTGAAAAGTATTGTAATTGAGATTAAGACTTCTTAATTTGAAGAGACGACCAATCTCTTGAGGAATCTTGCCTTTGAAGTTGTTGTCTCCAAGGTTGATATGCCTTGGAAAGAATAGATTTCCAATGTGGCAGGTATTGAACCAGCCAACTTTTGATCAGCTAAATTCAACATGGCAACTTTGCCTTTATGCCGATGGCTGCATGAGACTCCCATCCAATTGCAAAAATAAAGAGACTCATTCCAAGAAGTCATGATGCCAAATGGATCCTCAACAAGTTGATGCTTAAAGGTGAACAGTGCAAGTCTATCAGTTTCATTACTTGGGTGTAAGGCAGTTGAATGAGGAAATTGAAAGGCACGTAGTAGGTGATTTTTGAAGATGAGAATGTCTAGAATGGATAGCAAATGCATAGCTAACTTCATTTTTGAAACACTAAAAAGAAGAAAAGGGGGTTTGTTTCATGAAAAATCAGAGGTAGTTTCTCATTCTTATACTACAACTTGTTGTGAGAACCACATTGTAAGGATATGGTCATGCACTATTAGATTGTATCTTGCAGCATCATTGTTTATGTGAATAATGAGGTTAAGATCAAAAGTTAACAAGACTTGTGACTTGGGACAAAGCATTCGAAGTTTTATTTTTTCTTTTTTTTGGTGTGTTACACTCATCGCCCTTTCTTTTGACTTTGTCTATACTTCAATAATCATCTATTATATAGCTACTATAAATAAAAAGTAGAACCA